GGCTAGACCAAGAGAACTTAGAGTATTAGAATGAAAGTGTTCTCGCTTGTGAAGATCCTTTCAAGTTCACAACTCAAGTGCCCTTTCCCAATGCCAAGTGATTGGTATTTATAAGGAAAGGAGCCCTTGAATTTCAATCTCCCATTAATGTGGGAGAGTTGGTCAAAATGCATTTATTCAATTTAACCTAATTTAATAATCAAATTAAAATGCGAATGAATCAACAAACAACAAATGTCAAGTGGAGAGCAAGGGGTAAGGTGAGGACCACAAAGGGGGGGGGGCACCCTCCCCTTGCTCCCCAAGCAACCCACACAAACCGGCTCCCACACGCACAAGCCAACCAACTCAAGCCAGCTGGCGCAAGGCCTTGCGCACCAAGGCACACCCAGCTGGTGGCCTAGTGCTTGGCTGTGCTATTAGCATGGCTGCGAGTGCGAGCAGCCTAGCAAGAACGCCACGCATGCATGCGGGCTGCTGCCAGGCATGCTGGGCGCACATACCACAGGCATAGCTTGCAAGCTGTTGTTGCTTTGTTGTTATCGTTAGCATTTGCTAGCTGGTGCTTCAATGCTTGTGCTAGGCGTAGCCTAGCACGCAAGCACACACAGCCCACTGCATACCCTCGCATAGCATGTTGTTATTGCTAATGTGATGCTCATGCTAGGCGCAGCCCACACGCTGCTACCTCGCGCGCAAGGCCCAGCTAGCATGTACTGTTGGCCTCGCCTGCGATGGTGCGGGCTGGATGCTGCCATGCCTAGCATGCGAATGCTTGCGGCTGGGCTTGCGGCCATGCCTGCCATATTGGCTTGCGGCTGGGCTTACGGCCATGCTAGCAGCTTTGGCTAGCTATATTGCCCCTATCCCTCGGATTGCTCGGGGCACTTCGAGGCTAGGGGTATATTTGTAACTTGTTGTTTGCTTGATTTCTCGTCTCGTCGATTACTAAATTCGACTCGACTTACGACGCTCGGTTTCCGACGCTCTAAGATCGGAATCCGACGTCTATGTTCGTAATACTCTAATGACTCATTTAATCCTTCAGATTAATTCCTCGTTTCGGTTCGGTTACTCGATTGGGTGTGACCCGAAGGGTTCAGTCAAGATTAAGCTGTATTATTAATTATGCATTGATCGGAAGTGGCCTCCAGCTAAGCATTTCGATCACTTGACCTCACTGAATAATTAGCTTTTTAATAATTCCGAACCTTCTATCGGAATAATACACTTGTTCGAAAGACACCATTCCTTTCAAGGATAAGCATAAATGGTACAAGCTTCAACAACATTCAGCAAACACTCTCCTGATCCAATACCAAACTAGGCAACTATCTATGCATTGCAATCAACATCGCATAACCTTGATTAAAAAATCAAAGAAAACTACAATAATCAAAATTCAATTTCCACAAGAAAATATTAGGAGAAAAAAAGTTTAAAATTCGATCATTACCAGAGGCTAATAGCAGCAAATCCATAAAAATACATAATAACCCCTAATTTGAAACAAAATTCATAAAAAAACATACAATTGGAAACAATAAAAAAAATCAGATTGATTTCTATGATTTCAACCGAATACCTAGTTACAGAAAACTGACAATAAAATTGAAATTAAATTCCCTATCTTGGACTGAAAAATCGCAAGAAAGATTAATAAGAATCGCAACAAAAATAACCAAAATAGAAAATCCTCAAACTGAAAATAACGAAAACCCTAATTTAAGACTCGAAATCATAAAAAATCAAACAATTATACAACAATTGAATTAAACACAAGAACATCACAATCAAATAACTTACTTGTCCAGTATCAATTTGCAATGAACAAAAGCGAAGAAGAAAAGCAAATCCAACGACGATAAGAGCGCAGAAAAATTCGAAGCAAGAGAGAGGATTCAAAGGAAGAGAGAGAAAATGAAATGAAGAGAGAGAAAGTAAAAATGAAAATTAGATCAGTTGAAGCAAGTCTTCAAATCGCAAATTTACCATTTTGCCCTTAATGAGGCGGGAGGAATGTGAGCCGTTAGATTGAGCACGAATAACGGTCTAGATGAGTTCTTAGTTCCTATTATTCACCATGGTTCTCACATGATCTCAATTCTATATATATATAAACCAAGTCCTATAATAGGAACTAAGAATTTATCTGAGCCATTGATTCATTTGATCTGAGTTGTCTGCCTTTTTGTTGAGTATTGGCATTTTGGTAAATTTTTTGAACTAGCAGAATGACTATCCTAAACGTCCCTTTTTCCATAATCACTTTCTCTCTCATCAATTCATTTTCTTTCTCCTACAAACTCTCTCTTCTCATGATTTCTCTAATCTCTTCACGCACTCTAAATTTTGCAGATTTTCATCTTCTCATCTTCGTGCATCGTTCTAGCAAGTTTATATAGGCAAGTAAGTTGATTCAGTTGTCAGTAATATTGCTTTCTATAATATAATTCGATTTTGAAACCATTTTTTGCGATTTTGATTCCGAAATTAGGGTTTTCCCAATTATTTGTTTGAGTATTTTTAGTATCGATCAAGTTTAAAATAGGGATTTTGCTATTTTTGTTTGATTAATGTGTGTTTTCTCTTTGATTTATAATCAGATCAATATTTTGTGTTGTTTTGGTATCAATTTCAGGATCTATTGTTATTATTTGTAATTAATAACTCTTTATTTTAGTATTTTTCGAATTCATACTATACAAATATAGATTATTCATTGAAATTTAAATAAGTTCTTGCCTTAAAGTATTTAATGGTAGTAGCTCTATTGTTGTGGCTTAGTTTGATTGTGAATTTAAATGATTTTGTTAAAGTTGTAGAATGTATAAACTAATCTTATTAAAGAGCAGCGTTAGGCCTTTATGTGCAAATACAATTTGAGTTTCATTGAACAAAATGTGTGATTCTAGTTCCATTAAACTCTTATTTATCTAACAATGATAACCAAATTAAATGCAGTAAGAATTTTTGGTGGTGTTGGCTCAACTAGTGCTACTGAGCAAATCTGGGGTTTTCAACCCTCACATTCTTGCACCACTTCTATATATTAAGCTTTGGATGAATGCAGAAGTAAGCAATAGAAAATTTATAGCTCAATAAGATCACATTTGTGCACTGTATATAATACCAAATAAAGCTTACATATGTGTCCATAAAAGCTAAGAAGTTGGCTTTAGTTTTGTGGTTCCTTTTGTTTATTTCTGTCTTCTATATGAGGCTACTCGTATTATTGTTCGACAAGCACCCACATTAATAGAAATTTATGTGAATATTTGCTACTGTAGGACCAATTACCTGTGCTATACTATTCTTACATTATTTTTTGTAAAAAACTTTTGTTATATTTTGATTTACCTTAGAGTGATTTACTTTACTTTGATACACTAGCCTACTTGCTCAACGGGTAGAGCATTGTGCAAATGCACAAAGATGTGGGTTTGAATCCCACGTAGGTTCATTTGTGTAATGTGGCTACTAAACTCAATCTATACAAAGCTGGAGGTGGTGGCATTTTGAGGTGTGATAAGGATACTTGGCAAATATGTTATGCTATGAATTTTAATGCTATGTCTGCATCTTCAGCTGAGCTTCTGACTATTAGGGAGGGTCTCCTTATTTCCTGGGATGGAGAAATCAAGTTCTTGGAACTAGAAACAGATGCAGAGGCTTTAGGGAAAATGCTGAGCAATCCTAACTCCTTTAGAGACCACGATCAGGGATGAGTTATTGCAAAGAAACTGGTCAGTGACTGTTTTGCATGCTAGCAGAACAATTAACCACGTGGCTCACAAACTAGCAACTATTGTAAGGACTAAAGTTCAACTTGGTGAAAGGGTGCTATTCCACTATCCCCCTGCTGAGATCTTTGACACTTATGCTGCTGAAATACCAACAATCCCTATGGCTTAATCCTGATGATGACGGCTGCTCAACACCTTTTGCTCATCTTGTCTTTCTCTGCAGGTCTTTTTCTGGCATTATGTTATCTTTAATTTTTTGTTGCTTAGTTTATTTTATTTCTTCCCTAAGTAGTAGGATGCTGGTACTTTTAATATCTTTGAACAATCTTTTGTTTAGGTTGGCTGTTGTCACCTTGACGTAATATATAATCTACTAGTATTTTCCTTTAGCGTAAAAAAAATAGTTTCTATGTTTGAAAATCTGATTTCTAAATTTTTTCAGTTACTTTTTTTATTGTTTTATTTACTTTTAATATGAAAACCTTTACTGTGACCTCATTCTTCTTTTATATTTTATCACTCTTCATGTTTGTAGAGTTTTGGCTCATTTTATAGAGAGTTCAAGGTCAATGATGTAGGGTACCCATGAAGATCGACTATTCATTGCTTTGTGTCATTTGATTATACATACACTAACTTTTATTATTTTAATTTATAATTACTTTTTAGTGTTTATTATTTACTTCTGGGATATTTTGATCTACTTTTGATTTCTTGTCGAGCTATTCTGCATTATTTAAGAGAGATTCTAATTTTGAAATATTATCTTGATTTACTTTTGGAATACTTTTATTTATTTTATAGTATTTTGCATTGACTTTTTAGATATATTGGAGGCATGTGTAACAAATTTCTTATTCTCTTTCAAAGTACAATCTCAAAAGAAATATTTTAATTTACTTTTCAGATAATTTAATTTTCGTTTGATATATTTTAATTTACTTTACTCTTGAGATGTATTAGTTTACTATTTTGTATGATTGAGGACTTTAAAGTTTAAAGTCTTTTTGACGTAGTTTGAATAACCTTTGTAGGATTTGAACCTACATCTCTATGCATCCACATAGTGCTCTAACACTTGAGCTAATAGGTTTACTTTAAATTCTTTTTCATGAAGGAATCTACCTTTCTAATCTTATTCGTTCTCTAAATTTTAAACCCCAAAAGAATTGGTGGGATTAAAAAATATATCCATTATCAGTCATATATCTCACTGATCCTAACCTTTTCTAAAATAAAATAAAAAATATAACATATCTAAGCACTCCCTTATTTAAGATATTCCCAACACAATCACAAATTTGTATGACAACAATATCAACTTGCAGGACACCTCTGCCATCTGATCCAAATTCTGTGCCATAGAAAATGCTTGCTCACACACTAGAATACAGTCCAAAGCCCAAAGGTAATAACATTTAACACTAGAAGACAATCCAAAGGTATTTACATTAAAGAATAAACATGCAATATAGATTGCAGACCATGCATATTGTTGATTTTGCATCAATTTTTGTGCCAATCTAATGAGGTTCACGTACAAGTCAATCTAATGAGGCAGATCTTGACGGTTTTGAGGTGAATGTTTACCAGTCTACTCTTGATCAAGTTTCAGTTATACAACCTGATTTTCACGCTCTTTCAATTGCTGCTCAAATGTTAGCAAGGTAGATAAGGCTTGCCTTTGTGAGCTTTCAGAGGAAAATTGCACTAGTAGTTTATGATGTTTAATGCCAAATTCTTCATGCTCTGAAAATTGCAAAGTAAACAGCCACTTTTTATAGCAACAGGCTGCAATGTATAAGCAAACAAAACTGAAGAAATAGAAATGGATCGAAAGTATATTGCTTACTATTTTTGCACCATAACAGCAAGGATTCTGCCATGACAACAGACAACAGCCACCTATGCATGCAATCTTTGCAACATAACAGCCATAATCTTCCCTTACTAATCCTTAATTGTAATACCCAAGCCAACCCCTGTACCTTTGAAAATGCGCTGCATCAGAATACACAAACTCTACAAGCAACAGGCGGCACCTAAGATCTCCTAACAACTGCCCTATTCATACTCCTCCCTAGATGTCCTATAAATCCTATCAGTATAGTTTTTATAATTCCTAACCAATCGAACAAAACCCATGACTCCAATAACCCGGTTTTTCCATGGCTCATTAAACACAATAGAGAACCTATAAGACCACGCACCCCACACCAAAGATACAAACATCAAAAAGTCCTCATTGTTGGCATTAGTTACTTTAAGAGAGGATTAATTTACTTTTAGAGAGATTTAGTTTACTTTTAAGGAGAGTTGATTTACTTAAATGAGATAAATTCTTTCATGGACATAGGTATGAGATCTACCATAACAACATTGACAATCACTTCAACTCAACCAGCTTCCACACAGCTAATTATGTTCTCCCTCTGATTTTGATTGCTCATATAATGTAAATAATGGTTTTAGTTTTTCTATATACTTTACACTATAATTTGTTCACTTTTACTTGGTTTCTATTTACTTTAAACAAATTCAACCTGTAAATCTCACAAGAATCATCCATAGGATCAATTAGCATAAACTCAAGCTCCATCCAAAAGTAGTCAAAATTAGCTATAATAACTCAAAAGCCGGAAAAAATCGTTCGTAGTGAAAAATTGAATAGCTTTGAAATATCACTATTCACTAAATAATGTATGATCTTGAAATTAATCAATTTGCGGATTTTAGAAACTCAATATATGCTCGTTAAATAGTCTAATTTGATTAAATTAAAACAATACTCCAACCGAAACACTAAAACGAATCTCAATAATCGATATCGAACAAATCAATAGTCTACTTTGATCAAATTCATACGCTACATCTGGAAAATATAGCACAAATTCGAGCACCAAAATTCTCTAATAAAAACCTAGAAATCTAATTCTCCAAAATTCAAACACAAATTGTGAGTAATACATGAGTAAGAAATAAAAATAAATAAATAAAACCTAGAAATTTGATAGAACAAAAATCACAATGTTTACCTGTAAATTTCAGACAATTCGAAGTGAAATCACCAAATTATACAACACCATGGACGAGCACGAAAATAGAGAAATAAAAAACCTCTTATCTCACAAGCTACTTCAATGGAGTACAGAGAGCACGAATACCGCTTTAATGGAGAAAAAAAAGCTCGATAACTAGTTTAATGGAGAACTCAAAGCACTAGCATCAATGGAGGAGAGAGATTGGTTGGAGGATAGAGAATTGTGTGAAGAGCTAATCGCATGATCCTGAATTCTAGATATTAAATGATCTGATCCGTCCATTACCTTTTAATCTAACGGTCCAATTCAGTTCCTAGTTCCTACTGTACAAGAGGTTCTCGTTATAACTCGATCCTATATATATATACATATATAATACCTCCGTTTTTGAAAGTTCGACTCACTTACTATTTATGTGGTCAAAATAAAATAACTATGACCATATTTTATGTGTTATACAATATAAATAAATTAACATGTGAGATCATATTGGACTATTAATAATCCGAAAATCATCTTTTTACAAATTTCACTTATACACAACCGGAGTTATTCATGGTAAAAAATGTTCATTGGAGACCGTGCAATTGCAAAGTGAGCCGAACTTTCAGGAACGAAGGGAGTATATATACATAGGTGCAAAAATATATATACAAGTACAAATATTTACAGGGATAAAATACAGGATGTTGATATTTTAATTAAAAAAAGAAAAAGAAATTAAAACGTAAGGAAAACGCTGTGCTTCTATTGAAAAAACCGTAACAAAATGTTGGAAAACGCTACGGTTTTTCTTAAAAAAATTGTAGCGGATAATATTAAAAATGCTACGGTTTTTTTTGCGAATAGTGTTAAAATGCTACGGTTCTAAACCGTAGCAAATTGATTACCTTATTCGCTACGCCCACTAGTGTTACAGTTTAAGACCGTAGCAAATACCCCAAAAAAAACCATAGCGAATGTCCATTTTTCTACTAGTGTTATTAATGTCATATATTAGAATATTATTGTCAAATATTTGAATATTGTTGTCAGATATTAAATTATTTTTAAACATATTGGACTCACCATAAGTCCAGTCTCACACAAAATATATATATTTTTTTTTTCTCATTTGTTAAACATCGCCCACAAATTACTACATAAAGCCCACAAAATTCACTTGGTTTCCCTAAATTGCCCTTGACCTTAAAAAAAAAAAACACTCACACTCTCATCACTCACACTCTCATCACTCACACTCTTATTGCTCATCTTCTTTCAACCTCTCTAAAAAAAAAAAAATTCAAAATAACGGCAATGTCGAGGCGGCAAGGCAAGGAAGTGGCGGCGGCGGCGGAGGGAAGGATGTCCCAAGGTGGAAAGGTATATTTTGTTTAAAAAAAAAAAAAAGGGGGGGGGAAACCGCCGTGAACGCGGTGGGGCGCCCTGGCTGGACGCCCAGCCGGCGGTGGTGGCGCCAGATGCAGACGCCGCCACCAGTTGTCTGGCGCCTGGGCTGGACGCCACCGCCACGGTTGTGGCGTTTAGTCTAAGCGCCGCAGCCGTGGCTGTGGCGTCCAGCCCAAACGCCAGCCAACTGGTGGCGGCGTCTGCATCTGGCGCCACCACCGCCGGCTGGGCGTCCAGCCAGGGCGCCCCCCCCCCCTTTTTTTTTTTTTTTTTAAAAAAAAATTTTCTAAAAAATTGTTTTTAAATTTTTTTTTTTTTTTTTTTTGTAATATAATTTTGAATTGTTTTTATATTTTGTTGTTTATTTTTATAAATTTTTTCAATTTCGTTGTATTTTTTCTACGTTTATATTTTGTTTACTATTATTTGTTTGTTTTTAGTGTATTTGATTTGCGATGATGATTATTTATCGTATAAATTTTTGTATGTTTATATATTTTAAAATTTTGTGTAGGGTCGTCATGGTGGGGGGAAGAATATAGAGCTTCTTAGTAGAAGTTATTCAGTGGAGAGGTCGGGGCATAGACATGTCAGATCCCGTGGTATTTCGGCCTCAGTTCGTAGAGAACGGATCCACCGTCGGGATGAGGATGATGATGACGATGATGATGCTGAGGAGGGTGACCAGGAGGAGGAGCAGGAGGAGGGCGCAGATGAGGATGAGGATGTGGACGATGGCAGTGGACCGTATGATGATTACGGTCCATTCAGTCAGAGGGTTGATGACATGTACGAGACGCATATGGTGGAGGTGCGTAAGGGTAGGGGTGGTAGATTTGTTAGTAGATCTGGCACATCATCTGCGTCCACTGTCTCTGGGGCAAGCAGGAAACGGTCGAGGGCGGGTAATGATTCTTGGGTTGTTAGGAGTGAGGTGCCCGGTGGGCCTGTTGACGGGAGTGTGATTCCTAGCTTTCTAGGACACATAGCTGCCCGTATTTGGGAGGACCAGGAGAGGCCTTCAGTTACGGGGTTGTTGAAATGTCATACCCGGGAAAAGACTTGTAGTTTTTTGCGTACATGGGCTGAGGCCTGGCCGGCGGAGAGCGAGATGTTCGAGCGACTGGAGGGCACTGGGGTGAAGCACGTTCCTGCCACCATGCACGATAAGATTGACAGTACGCTGATCACGGCTTTCATTGAGCGATGGCAGCCGGATACAAACTCTTTTCACCTTCCGTTCGGTGAGATGACGATCATGTTACATGACGTCGAGGCCATTCTGGGGATTCGTGTTGAGGGTAAACGACTTTGTGCTGTGGCTGATGCGGATCAGGCAGATTCGCTGGCGGAGTTGTTGGCGGTGGACAGGGCTGCACTGTACACCGAGGCGCTAGGTGTTTGGGAACACGGAGGTGTGAAGATCGCATCTGTGTTGCAGCGGTGTTTGTACCCGAGTGCACGTAGGACGCCCGACGCACAGCTGAGTGCTTATGTTTTTCTACTCCTCGGATGTACCTTGTTTCCGGATAAGAGCGGCGGAAACAAGCTCAGGCCACGCGACATCGTAGAGGCGTGTGACCCCGACAGTGTAGGCCAGTTTTCCTGGGGATCGGCTACGTTGGCGTATTTGTATCGCCAACTAGGATTTGCGAGTCGGGCTGACGCGGCAGGTATCACTGGGTGTCTGACTCTATTGCAGACTTGGATATACGAGTATTTTCCTGCATTGCGACCACATCGTGACCCAGTTCCTATTGATGAGGGGATGCCGCGTGCTTGTGCGTGGAGTCCCCGCTCGGAGAAGAAGTCCGTTGACCGCCTCCGATCGATACGGTTATTGCTGGACAGGCTGTCCCCCTTAGAGGTAACGTTTATTTATAGAGTCTACATTTTATTATTTGCACATATTATATTCATGTTATTATATTTTATATGTTGTAATTGTACAGGTGAACTGGATGCCTTTCGGCCCGAACCCTAGTGTTAGGGTACCCAGGACCCTGTACACGGGACTCATTCAGTATCGTGACATCGTCGAAGCGTACATGCCCCAGCGTTGTCTTCGCCAACTTGGATTTGTCCAAGTTGTCCCTCCTCCCCCGGCGTGCCCGATGAAGGCGGTCCGACCTGCATCGTCGAGGGAGTACGTCGTGGAATGGCCGGATATCATGACCGGGACGTGGGACCAGTTTCCGATGGTGGCTCGATTATGGACAGCGGAGTTGCAGCGGCCGCCCTCTGGGGTTACTCCCATGTGTGACCATTACTACATGGAATGGTTCAACCGGTATTCGCACCCGAGGTTGATCGCTGATCTCGACCACAGCGATGATGATTATGTGCCACCGCCTACTGCCACGGAAGCGGTATGTCTTTTATTATATTTATCGTTGTCTTTTAATTAAGTTTTATTATATTTATCGTTGTCTGTTATTGTATTTCATCTTCTGTTTTTTGTTGTATGCAGTGGATGGGAAAGATAATGCAAGACGTTCAGAAACTCTCTCTTGAGAAGGACAGCATGAGTGCAACAGGGAGAGCTGTTGTTGATAGTCTGGAACAGACCCTTGCGCAGTGGGAGTCGTCGTCGAGGAGGGATTACTGATGGTTATTGTATTTTATTTATAGAACATTATTTTGGACATTATGTTGTAAAATTGTAACATTTTAGATTGTTCTTTTAGCTTCCAACTTAAACATATTATCAGTGCTGTTTTTAAATTTTGATATAACCGTTCGTGGATCCGCGCAACTTACCCATGCAACATATAGAATGCAGTAAGCAATACAATATAAAATATTAATGTTCTCATTAAAAGAGCAACGTACAAATAAGATTACAAATAAAGAATGTAAACAAGAAAAACTAAAATGCAGCTAGGGTGTTCCATTCGTGGATCCGGTCATTATATAGCGCATCCCAACCCTCTACGCTCGCTGTGCAAATGTTGTACCACCGAGGTATAATCGGTGGCACCGGAAAATCGGTTGACATGTCTAGTCGGATGAAATGTCTGTATGACGACCCAAGAAACGCAATAGCTAGCTCTCTGACCGGTGTGGTGACAGTCTCACGCGACCGCCAAGGGAGAACCGTGGTACAAGGATAATAAGCTTGACTATGCACTCCCAGGCCGAAATGCATGACTGCGCATTTGTAAATGTTTGCAACGGCAAACAGATCTAGGGGCGCGTCAAAATAATGATTTTCGCCGCAAGGTCCACCTCCCCACCGGATACGTCGGAGAGCGCCATCCAAGTCATCCTCGTACACATGACGATAAACATTTCGGTTAGAGGCAATTTCGCTGTACATCAACTCACACACCAAACCGTAGTTGTCTTCGCCCATTTGAAAAACATCAGCCACGACCCGGAATCCGCAGTTACCATCTCCGATTACATCATTCCACCCTTCCACGTACGACATGATGATCGCAGGTATCCTTTCCTTGTACGGAAACTGATCAACATCGTTTCTTCCTATTCACCAAATAATTAATTATAGACAGTTAAGAAGACAGGAGTAACACTTTAAAACTATGTGCAATAAAAACAACCAAAACGTACCAGTTCTCAGGGGCATATTCACAGACGATGAAGATTGACTACGACTAGATGACGATGTCCGACCACGAGAACGACCACGACCATGACCACGGATATACTCAAACGCACTCCTGTTCCGCCGCTGTCGACCTCGAGGACGGTCAACTCCTTCGGGTTCCTCATAATCTAAGTTAGACGGGTGGAACATGTCATGAAGCACATGAGTAGCGTCACGAATAATAGAAGGATGGCTGGAGGACACTCGGTCGTACATCGAACGGAACTGCTCCAACTCTTCCTGTTCACGGTCGGCCGTTTGATTGTCTGCATGCTCACCACTAACAAGCGTCCTCCAGAATGAATGGACCTGATCAACATGTAACGACGCCCTTTCTTCT